AACACTATCAACGGCAAAACAACGTAAGGACTGGTGAAATGTTCAACAGTCGTAATCTGAATTTGGAATCCTTTCGCCAGTAATAATATTTTTACATTTGCATCAAATATACGATGGGTCAATGTCTTCATGTAGCTAAATTTGCGAATACAATATTCACTATTACAACGGCTGAAATACGTATAAAAACACACTGATTATGACAAATAACAGAAAGAGTTTAAAACACAATTTCAAAACCTTTTATGAACTAAGAATAGTATGGTAATGAGAATACGGTCAAGATTACTAGGCATATAATATGTACTTCTTTCATTTGTAGCATTAGGGGCCACAGTGACCAGGTTGGTAAGACGCTGGCTCGCTATCAAAAAGTTTCGGCTTTGCTCCCCGTGTTGACCCAGAAATGTCCTCGCGGTTATCTGGCGTGGTCCATAGGACGGATGGCCTGACAGGGAACGGTATCTAGTCGTTCGGATGGGACGAATAACCGAGGTTCCATGTACAAATTAGAGTGCACGTAAAAGAACCTTTGACAGTTGGAATTCGACGTGATAAATAGAATGTAAAGAATATCATCCTCATCCCACAAAGATATTTTGCCATTTTTGTTATGAAATAGGCCGACGTTTAAATTACAGTGGAGCATAACCCAAACGTTGACAATCCAGTTTTCTTCCTTTCATAATCCCGAACAAATAAAAGTGTCAAAACCACCTGATGCAGTCTCCAGATGTTCAATCAATGTAATATGATATTATTAAAATGTGAACTTAACACTAAATCTAACACATTATGGCCCTTTATCTTACAAACTCTTGATTAGGTTTCATTGTAATGAAGATTACCAAACGCTTATGAAAATCAATGTTGTTAAACAAAATAAATATCACTACCTTACAGTATATACCGATGGTAACAACGGCCTCTGAATATTAAATCATGTATCATTGAATATAACAGTATAATTATCTTTCAGAAACACATAACATATTGAAATATATATTTTTAATGTCGATTACAGATTTGAATTTATATCAAAGGGGAACTATAGTTGTTTGGGACACACACAGACGTATTAAAATACATATGTCTTTATTAGCAAAATGACTACTGACGCCTTTGTGTCAACGTAAAATCGTACCACATAGGACTATATGTTGTGTGTTTCAATCTATGTTTGAATTCTATAATTCTATTATATCAATGCATTTAGTTATGAAGCACAGTTTACCTGTGTAGGTATTATAATCATTATTTAGGTCAACTAAATCTTTTATAATAGGCGTACGTCACAGTTGATAATATCTAGGCCATTTATACTAAAGGATATCACGATTTCAGTATAATATATTGTTTCGTTCCCAGCAGACATGTTTAGGATTTTCCAGTAGAGCTCAACTCCTCAACTCTAACTGATTATGACAAATGAGTTTTGATTTGTTATCATATTGACCAGTAAGAAACAATCCGGCTATAAATGGACGGAGTGAGTGATCACAACAGCTTGTCTGCGATGTCATCCAAGGTGGAAGCGGACGTAAAACCCTACGGACGAACGATCACCACAGACATAGAGCGAGTGATCAGAGATAGACGTTAATTCCTGCAAGCACAGAAATGTTGTCTAACGCTTGTATTGTAGATCATCTAGTATCAACTCAATTGTCAAGCTCATGCTTTCACGTGGCAATGAGTAGTCACTCGGCAAACCTCAGCAGACTCAAGTATCCTACATCTAGCCTAAGAAGTATAACGAATTCCGCCTCTGGAACTACTTTCAAATTCCTGGATTACTAATGGCGTCGCCCGTGACGACGCCTTTGAAGAATGTGTTATCATACAAAACTTTCAAGTTTATCCGATTTTCTTTAAACAAGGACAGCTTTGCACTGAAAATTCTACACACTCTTCCACGACGCAATTTTGAGAACTTCTTTCTAAAAGCGACAATTTTTCCTAATACTAAACCGCCGCCGCATCGCAATTGTATAGGCTTCGGTACATATCACTTACCGTCATACAGCCGAAGCTAGATAGTACCGGAATCTATAGCGTGAAAGAGTCGCGTAGCCGACCTAAGATCATGTTCTCTGGTTCACGACTGGATCAAGATAAAATTACTGACCATGTGTTAGCCCCTAAATGACGAGTTGTGTTGAGCCGACGTTAAACATACCACGGATAAGACAATGCTACAGTTTACAATAATCTGTCTATTATTGTCTATTATTGAATAAACCAAATCTTTAAAGCCAGGAAATCATTTTAGTGTTAACTAGTAAAACATCAACTACATGCACAGTGATAATATATACATATCGTGTATTCATGTATGACTTGTTTGGTTAGCGTTTTGATATATTTCGTATAGGCTGATATCATATGTTCTATTTGTTTATGACAGTGTACTTCAGCTTGAACAAATGAACAACATGAATGGTGTAGTTTTAGTTATGGCAGTATATCTGGCTGTTTTTCTTGTAATATCATTTGGTAATATAAATTATATAAACTTATAATGTATATTTTAATTTAATGTTTTTATAAAATAAATGATAATAATGAAATATATATGCAATCATACGTTTCTTTAATTCACTTCCGGGTCTTTTTATACAAGTAATACATGTATGTATGTTTTATTTACACCCAGTAACAAAATAAACTAGACCAAACGATTTGTCTTACACCATTTTCAGTTCAGGCGATCATATATAGAAATACAGACGAAAAACTGCAAAATTATTAAAATTCTTTTACAGTCTTATTTACGATGATTATAATTAATACAAACTTTAACCACTTTAGTATACATCAAAGCTACGAGAATTAAAGGGACTATCCCGATATGAACAGAGTCTCAAAAATAAAATTCTGAGTACGTATGAAATTTAAGCGCCAAAATATAGAGGAATGGTGTATTTACATTGTCTTCAAATTTCAGCTCAAAATATTGATTTGTTTGGACGTGAACGTCAAAATTCCTTATCCGGACACGTAACCCTTTTAAGATTTTGGGTCAATTTTTTCGTTGCGTGACCTGATAATCGACCCCCGTTCCTTTAGAGGTCTCTACAATGAATGACCCATGTGCTGTACTTGATAACGAAAGGTAAATTTCGCCTACACATTATTTTTATAAAATAAAAGTCTGGTTTTATCCAGACACCGCATAATACAGCTTGGGACACCGGTCTCCATTTCTAGATAAAGACTGACGATTTTAAGTTGTTTGAAAACGTATCACATATGCTGAGTTAGTTGCCCGGCCCTAAGGTAGAGAATTTTAAGGGATTTTAACACAAAATGAAGCAGTTTAATTCTCCAAAATATTATCGGGATTGGCCCTTTAAGTACTTAAATACAGGTTGGAGTTCTCTATTTCTCGGAGCTTAGCTTGAAATCAATTTCAGTTTTGAGTTGGAATTAGTCACGGATGCGCCAAAGATCTCTGCAACAGTAAAGTCACCACACATTTACTTAAAACTAAATAAAATATCGAAGGCAAATAACACAGGGCCTATATGTTTTTAAAATATACTGTGTTTTGTGTAATGCAGACCAATAGATAGCGAACATTACGAAGGACCGGGTTTTAGAAACCGTCATAATTAAAATATATCATGGTTTGATCCTGATTAATTTTATACGTTTTTGTATTTGAGACTCAACCTAAATTTTGTTAAATTAATTAGCAATATAATAGTAATTTCAAAAGTTCACTCAATATTATATTTTCAAATGGTTCGAAGCCGTTCGCATATTGATTGTATAATAAAGTTAGTTCACTTGATACAGGGGCACACGCTTAATGGACGTTGATGGAATGGGTTAAATGAGGTTTTCAACTGGGTCATATTATAGCATGCCCTGCCCTCGACTGTGTTAAAACTAGGTTACCGCGGAGATAATAAGGTTACTTATTCGTACTTCAAAACTAATTTGGCATGAAGGAAGAATGAAAAGACCTAAGACGTGTTTTATACCTGTAAAAATTAGTATTTCTGCATGTTAACTAGTGGCTACATATGCTCTAGTGTAGTAAAACATGGTGTCTCAAATACGCAAAGTATTGCATTGATGATAATAGTAATACAAATATTATTAAAATGATATATTTTCTTGGTAGTTTGAAAGTGGTTTATCGTCAACTTGACGTATAATTTATCATCACTCGATTTTCCTGAGCTGGAAGGTGCTGAGGTCAGGGCGTTGGCCTCTTGGTGCCGTAGCATTTTCCTAAATGATTCTCTCGCGATTGGCCCCGACTAAAGATACTAACCCTCTTAAATTTTTGAATTAGGTTACTCTGAAGATGTTTCAATTAATGATGGATAAGCTCTATACGATCACAGATTTGTTTCAAATGATAAAGTTGGATTACTATGTCGTCATTGGAACACAAAATCTACATCGATTTTGATCCTGTAGGAAAATAATAAATTTATAACCAGTCTTTTCGTATGCACGTGCTTTATTTGACAAATATATAGGAGATCTGTTGCTTCGTCAATACCAATAGCTACAAGATTACCATTTCCTAAATATTATGGGTTTTTTTCGTTTCACGGGTACGTGAATACCATAACATCCTAACAACCTGGCAATATAGTTTGTCGTCGGGCATATTAATAGCAACCGTGAGTCAAATTTAAAAGGCTATGACACAAATTTATGTTGTGGTAATACAGATTCCAATTTCATGGAATTAGACAAAATGGTTCATAATATATAATATGTATTTTAAATACAGAATTGTCTCTGTCGAACATAGATGTTCGTTTGACTAAACAACAATATTTACTGTTTCATTATTACAGTGGCTGTTAATCATCTTGGTCAATCTCTGAAGGTTTGCGGACCTAGTAATAGAACAATATCACTGGTATACGAATATAATGAAACAAGAAACGCGGTAACATGGAGGAGAGGAGATAGGAGTTTTCTCGCTGTTGTATCTTATCCTGGTTGTGTATCATCTTTAAATGACACTAAATACACATTTTTATGTGAAAATGGTGGTCGAAAGTTTGCTCTAGAAGTCAACAACCTGGATGATGGAGAAATCTATTATGTAACAAAGATAGCTGATAATAGAACTATTGTAATTCAAGGTAAACTGTATATTTATGGTTGAGATGTAGAATCTCGTCATGTTTTACTACCACTAGTTATTACCTAAAATATTCAGTTAATCCTACTTCTAAAATATAATTATCTTATTACTAATGTTACCTACCTACAATATTCAGTTGATCCTAATCCTACTTCCAACATCCATCCATCAGATTAACGTATATATTTAACGGTGGGTAGAACGTCAATGACGTTGTTGAGAGGAGATTTTAAAAATCTTGTGGAATGTAGTATCAACGATAGAGAGATAGGTGTTCGGTGACATCTCGTGGCACTCTTGTGGGGTGGGGGGGGGGACACCGCCGTTTTAACAACATACCAATAGGCAGTATTGTGGATTGTGATACCACAATTAGAGATAGAGGAGACAGTTTTGAAGAAAATTTTTCAAGGCCACAGGAAAAGATGATTTTGACATCGGTAATTGATTTTATAAATGTTAAGGGGTGTTGGGCTGAGTGAAAAACCCGTTTTTATATTAAAAACAAATTTTCGATGAATATTGCCTACCATAAATATGATGCGGTATTTTGTTTACAGAAGAAAACAAGGAACTGTAAACATTTTACAACCACCCATTTTTATCGCACTAAATATTGAAAACTCGTATTCAATATGGGGCGTATGATACTCGTTGTAGGCCGTCACCGATGTCAGCAAGGGTTTATAAACGGTTCTGCTGCACATTGTCTCACTATAGTCATGGCATATTTGGTTTATCTTACAGTTCACAAAATTACAAGCTTAAAACGGATATTCGATATTCGTTTTCATATCAAACCATATCTGACCGTCAAACGAAGGAATGGTAATTTCTTTTAAATCACATATATATTATGTCTTTAAATGACATCTCAAAATTTTGGTATAGATTATTATAGCACCATGTGACGATCTGCCCTAATACCTACCACTAGGTATGAGATAGCCTCGACCATAAGGTTTTGACAAATTATTTTACAGTATGTATTAAGCTCGTCACTTTATAAACATAGACTGAAAAAAAAAGAAATATAAAGGCGGAAACATGTAAAAAGTGTAATGTTGTGTAATTATGTTAAGATGATAGTAAAATTATCTATATTATCACTGCCGTGCGATACGCGTGAATGGTACCACCATACATTAGACTACCACTGATAAATATTCTAATTACAACTAACACTGGCAGGTAATTAACTGTTAATGCCAAAGGGACAGGCTTCAAGATGCAAAGACATGGGGAATATTTTCTATAAAGGATTTACTTAGTATAAAACCACCAGGTAAATAAAATATAAATGGAAAATAGCATTGAAAGAATATAATTACATAAATCATTCAACTCTTAATAAGAAGACTGAAAAAAAGTAATTAAAGGGAGACAACTAGCTTTAAAGATACATTCTGGGAGTTTTTTTTATAGAGAGTTGGCCATTCTTGCTATAACAGTTCAAAAGTAGATGATGAAAGAAGAAAATATTGAAAATTTCAGTCAAATTACTTTATTCTGAACATAGTTATCAACGTTGTAATATTTGACTAGAAATGTGCCTTCACCTTGGCCGATCGTTTGATTGACAGGCGTTAACTCCACCTACATATCTCGATTATCAAGTAAAGTTTTCAATGGCATGCGGAAACGTTCTACAGCGGCCTCGCTAAGTACACTCTATTTTTTAGCCTCGATCTAACTGACGTATTCTCATCAGGGTGCGCCATATTTGAATTAATCAATCAAGTGAAATCATATTTAAATCCGAGCTGTAGCCGAGTCATCCGTGGGTCTACAGAGTTGATTTTGGGCTTGTTGTTTAAATAAAGATCTAATTTATAATTTCAATAACATCTGAAGCCTAAATTAAGACTTGCAATAATCAGATTTTGCTCTTGCATAATGTATGTTTAAGTGATCAATGTAAACAAATGCTTCCAAGCCATGACAAAAATGCAACAGAGATGCGTCTGACATACAATATCAATTAAATAATACAAATGATACAAATACCGTGTTTTATGCCCTTATACTCTCTAACATTGGCTGACAATGACAATATACTGACAAAACCATACTGGTTGGTACTCAACTGACAACAATATTATTGTATATTAAACTGACAACCACGAGACCAACATGAAACAATGCATCAGTGGTGTTAAGTTTTTGTCTACGTATGAAACATACATGTAGAAGCATATTTCTAGCTTTTCTTGCTTGCTGTACAACAAGAGTATTTATAGTAAAAGACCAACATAATTTTGGACTGAACATGATACCTAGATATTTATAAGAGGACACGGTATCGATTTTGGTGCCGCCAACTCGCCACTGATCATTTGCTTTCACATTGCCACCTTCCTAAATACTACAACTTTGGGTTTGTTTAAGTTTACTTTCCTGCCGATTTTTTTTTTTTTTTTTTTTTTTTGCAGAAGTCATTTATATAATCAATTTGTGACTGTAGCCTGGGTACCGTATCTGATACACATGAAATAAAACTAATATTTCATATGTAATAAAGTATGAGTGACGCTGTTCCGACTTCAAAGCAAAAAGCGATTAATCGTGTAAGCTATGACGTAGTAACCTTTCAACCTTATGGTCAGTAAAAATGAAATGAAATGGGGTTTAACGTCCTACTGTTCTGCTCCGAACTGGGCTAATGCAGACGGGCATGCGCCATACAGTGTGCTATAAGGGCAATTTTGTCCGGACAGCGGCACTACGGCCTACTCTTATATCGAATTCAACTGTCAAGGGATCTTTTACGTGCACGCCAATGTGTACACGGGACCTCGGTTTTTCGTCCCATCCGAACGACTAGACAGCTGTTCTTGTCAGGCCCTCCGTCCTGCATCACTGGCAAGGGGAAGCACGCCGAAAAATCCTGATGAACTTTCTCGGCCAATGCAGGGATCCAACACCCACCTCCAGGCTAGCGAGCCGGCGTCTCACCCACTTAGCCACCGTGATTCCCCTTATGGTCAGTAGTTAAAGAAACCATTAAAGGCACTGTACCATGACTATTCTAGTCTACGATTACGTTTAAACTTTGTCCACATGAATTAAAGAGATCACATGGATAATTTTGAAAAGTAATCATTGTCTACCATTATTTAATTCCCATCCGTTTCTCACCTTGGTAGTATTATATCTACTGAACGAGAATCGATTTCAGACGAGTTATTTGCATCTGAGTTAGAAATCGGAATTAGACTAGTTATTTGATAATCCCGCGTGCGATCATGGACTTAACAGACTTTAGACATTATACTTAGTCGTGGCTGAATGTTTTTTAAAGAATATTTCCACGTTATAGGCGCCGTTGTGCTTATCCTCTATCAAGTATTACCTCACAATTCAACGAATGGGTGCACCTTCCGGATGATAATAAGTTATGTCTCTATTTTCCTTTTCTCCGTTTATCATGATTGATGTCCGTACGTAGTGTAAAGAACTGTAACTCTTGATACCTATTATGCCGATTCCTACCATATACCAAACCATAGATTAACCGACGATCTGATAATCAAAGATTTCAAGTTTTGTGTTATTTATACCATATTTTGACATTTTGGTATTTTTTTGTTCAGATAAAGGATTGTTAAACATAAACGTAAATGAAGAACCGTTTTTGTGTCAGTTAACAGATACTGGTGTACAACTGGTGTGTAGTATAGGATGCAGTAAACCAGAACCAAAATTAACATGGAAATTTACATCTAATATGGTAACATGTATTTATTGTAATGACATTATTGAAATTACTTGAACAATAATTGGATATTGTTGTCATGAACGACCGAAAGGATAATAATTTACAACATAACACATTAAGTAAACTATCATTGTTTCTGCTATTGGAAAGTCTTTGAATACATATTACTGAGAACAATTTAAAATGAAACAACCAATTATTGTTGAAATTGATACTCTCTCTTTAATTAATCAAACAAGATTATATATCCGTGAAATAGTGTAATTGTTTATTCCACATGTTTACAGGGTGGAACCCTACAGGATTTATCAGGTGGAGTGGAATCTATTATTAATACAGGATGTTCACCTGGATACGTATCTAAAACTAACACTATAACTATATCAAATACAACACCGGTACTGGATGGTCTAGATGGTTATACAATAATATGTGAGGCTTCTTATCCTGGCTGTGATATACCTACAACAACTGATCAATTTAACAGGTCTTGTTCTGGTATGTATTTAAAAATGTTACAGCCTTATTCCAGTTGATTGTCGGGTAACGTCAGAGTGACGGTTCATCTTATCACTGAATACACATAAGCTGATGTGGACTGATGGAGCGCTTCAATATATGCTGGCTGTACATAAATTATAAAAATAAATCTATACACGATAGAAACTTTGTTAAGAACAGACCTTTCTAGTCTAGTGTTGTTACCGAACAGCGTCCTACTCACTTGAGCCACCGTGGCTCCCTACAGCATAATATTTACTATGCCTTTATTTGTATTCTATTTTTCTACATATCGATCCACCAACCGGTGTAGTACATTGGTCCTTTAGACCCTATTGGGTCTTTGAAAAATTGTTGGTTCACTCTTTCTATAGAGTCAAATCCCAGGTGCTAATAAAAACGGACGACATGTTTCTATATAAAAAAACCCAGTTATATTTTGATAAAATCCTAACCATTGTCAAAATATCCATCAAATTCTATCTGTTTATATATGTGGTTGGTAGACCAAATAAGGTAATGTTCTCCCACTTGGTCTTGAAAAATGTGAAGGTTTATTCCATATTTGGGATGAGAATTAATGTCAAAGTAAGTCTAAGACGTACAGAAATAAGGGGTTATAAATGGGAGTGTTATGCGAGATTGATCAGAGCTCACCCAGATATTCCGAGCAGCTATCATCTATTGAGAAACAAGGACCTTAGAAGCCAACCTTTCTTAACAATAAAGTTGTAAGAACAACTAACCTGTAGTTTTCTTTACGATCACAAGGAACACAAGAAGGAAGTCCGATATTACTACACCGGTCTATATACAGTATAATAATTACTATGACTGCAACGCCGGATTAACCACGGGGCACCATGGGGCCCCCACATTAGAGGCCCCCCCCCCAAAAAAAAAAAATCTCAGTTGCGCGCCGCGAGCATGGTCGGACCGAGGACTCCAACGGCCGGTGACCTAGTGACGGGGCTCCTCCGATGCTCCGAGATGTTTTCTGGGTGGATCGCCGGAATTCAACGCTATTTACAGGCGAATTGTCAAATTCTAATGAGAGTACTGCCTTGTACGTGGTTTGATCTTGCAGGCGAGTGTGCCTTGGCAACTTTCCCGGAAACTTGAAGATTTGAAAAATAAACGCTTTTTGTGGGTTTATCTAAGGGTGTAACACATGGTCTTTTATTGTCGTGAGATCTTCTATCGGACCGAACATCGTCTTACTCGAATTATCGTATAACTCGAAAATATTACCCGTCCCCATCATTTCGAGTAGCGCGAATTTTGCCTCAGATTGACGTACAATTGTATATAAGCTGTAGTTGTTGTTGTTGTTGTTGTCGATATTTGTTGTGGGTATAAGCTGAATTTGATGAAATGCACATCATGATCACACGAAATATTCAGATTTCTTGATTAAATCTCGTATTACCATTTGGTACTTACAGTGTTAGACGTTCGTCAAAAATCGAGCCCGGCTTGGTCGTAACGTTACGGCCTCCATTCATCAAATCATCGTGGGGGATATAATACGATTCCGAATCAAGTGACCCCGTTATTTATCACTGAGCGACTTACAGTATGATGTAGTTCTGATCACTTACAGTGGCGGATTTAACGGACTCTAGAAATGCCATCATTTCATAGCACTCGCATGGATTGGTCCACTGAAATAACACCAGAATGCGCTAATTTTGTGGCAGAATTTTATTTATAAATGGCTCTGACACAAGTGCCCGAAATACCAGGAAATCACGTTTCCGGGCTCCAATTTCTGAAAATTTCCCCCAGACCCCCCTTGCAGGGCTTGGCGTCTTCGGCGCTCGTGGTGGCCGGCCACAGCTCCGCGGTCGGTGATCAGGGACCCCCCCCCACACACATGTTCCAGGGCCCAGGGCCCCCGCCATGGTTAATCCGGCGTTGCACTATATCTTTATAGAACCATCACCCAGTCAATATGCAGTATAATAGCCACGGTGGGTAAGACACTGACTCGCTAGCCTGGAGGTCGCCGGTTCGCTCCCGGTGATGGCCGAGAAAGTTCATCGAGATTTTCAGGTGTGGTTGGTTTCCCGCTTGTCAGTGGTGTTGGATGGATGGCCTGACAAAGACAGTTGTCTAGTCCTTCGGATGAGACGAAAAACCGAGGTCCCGTGTAGACAATGGAGTGCACGTAAAAGATCCCTTGGCAGTTAGAATTGCATATACAGTAAGATTAATCCTCAGCGTATGCCAGCCTTCCTTATGCTAGTCGGCGCAGATCAGTAGGACGTTAAACCCCATTTCATTTCATGGGAAAAGTAAGTTGAGAACTTTCTGGGAGTTCCGGCTGTACAAACACAGTTTGTGGTAGTTTAGTGACACCATAATTTGAATCAAGATGTATACTTGATACTCTGAATAATTCTTTTAGTCTGTTTTGGCCACCGATGCGAGTGTGCTATTAGTCCTTATCACCCTTATTAATTTTAACTAAGGTTTTGATGAATATTAATGATTTTGTGGCGGAAAGTTAATCTATGTACTATGGGAGACCAAACAGCTCTTTATTCGGTGTTCATAATTCTTAGTTCTTAATTCATAGTCTTTATATAATTCTTATTCCATCATTTGATGTCGTATTTGGACATTTGTATACTAACATTTGTATCTTAAAATGAATATTTGATTTACAAATTAGACATTTTTCATTTCACATTTGTAAATTGTATCTTGTAAAGTCTATACAAAGTCTAATAATTGCTATGACTATATTTATAGTTCTGTACATTTGTCATTTCACATTTGTAAATTGTATCTTGTAAAGTCTATACACAGTCTAATAATTGCAATGACTATATTCTAGTTCTGTACAATGACTATATTCTAGTTCTGTCTATATAGAATCATCAACCAGTCTATATACAGTTTAATAACAACCACGACTCTAATTTATATTCCAGTTAGACCAATCGTACACATAGAACCCTCAATCAGTCCATATAAAGTTATAGAAGGGGGACAACTCGTGTTGACTTGTCAAGTAACCAATTCAGATTTAGCAGTACCATCTGGTGTTTATAAATGGAATAAGAATGGTGTACAGATAACAGATCAAAGTTCATTTATATATAGAATGCAACTAGTAGAGAGATCAGATACAGGCAATTATTATACCTGTACAGGTAGTAATAGTGCTGGCCCAGGTAGATCATCTACACCTGTACAAATTGATGTTTTATGTAAGTAATTGTAAGAAACTATTTATATTTACCATCTACTACTGAAATGTTTATCGGCTCGTGATCAATTGTCGTATAATTAGGAAGTTGGCCAAAATTCAATATGATCTGATATAATAGCCGTGTCTTAGAATAACTTCTGATTTTGTTTATTGCAATGATAACTCTATCACCTGACTAGATCATTATAACTGTTGTCATTGTCACTGTATCACCTGACTTTATATTTACATATTTATAGCTATTATCATGACAACTGTATCATATGACCTTATAACTACATCTTTAGTATACTAGCAGAATACAGGGACAAATTCGCTGGAGGCCCAATTACCCCGGCGCCCCAATTCGCCCATCGCCCAAATTCGGTGGCCAAAAACATTTACGGGATCATTTTGGTTTGTTTGATACCACATGGGTGGACATCCGCGACGAATCGTGATAGGCGAACATAATCTTTGGTTTCATCTATATATATTGTTGTTTTCTTCTCGATCCCATGGTAATCGTATCATCTGACTTTAGCTATATCTTTATAGCTGTTTCCATGGTAACTGTAAACCGTGGTATCTCCAGTGGCATAGTTCCGTCCTACTGCACTAACCCCTGGGTTCATTCATAGGGAATTCACGAATTCAAATGTATTGCCCTCCAGTGACCACGTAGGTTAATTCAACGAGTCAATCAAAAACAGTTTACATACCAGTCTTGTTTACCTTCACAACAATACAGTAGTATGTACATTCAATTCTGAAGTATGTTAGACATTTAATATTAAAGAAGCGTCATACACACAAACATATATATCTTCTAAAATATTTTGACAAAGTTAATAACAGCTATTCGGAGATCTTAGTTAAGACAAACTTTCTGGAATTTTTTAATTGGTCGATAAAAATAGCACAATTATGAAGGGTGGATAATTTGTCGCCGTCTTGATTGGACCCAGGGGTTAGTGGATGGAGTGGTACGGAATGTTACTATGGGTAATTGTATCATTTGACTGGCTGTTAAATCTATATAATTTGTTTTAGTCGGTCCCATGGTAACTGTATCAGTTGATTCTGTAACTAAAACAGAGAATGACGACCTTCAGTTGATCTGTACTGTTGAATCAAATCCACCAGCAACAACCTTTAAATGGTATAAACCAGATGGTAGTAGTGTTGATGTATCTTCTAATGGACGACTTGATAAAACTAGAATTACCAGGAACCAGGGTGGTATATATAGATGTGAAGCTACTACTACTCTAGTACCAACTAATGGTAGTTCTATAACTAGATCTCACAATAAAACTATAGATGTTACTGTACTGTGTAAGTTTTTACTCTAGTACCAACTAATGGTAGTCCTATAACTAGATCCCACAATAAAACTATAGAAGTTACTGTACTGTGTAAGTATAGAGGTATAACTTCATCTGATAGTATTTGCAATATTACAAGGAACCTGGGAGGAAGTAGACGACTGAAGCCTAATACTAACCGTCCTGTGGTCAATATACAAATTCCACTGGTCGAAGTCGGCAATATCAAATAACATAACAACTTCTCTTAACCACAACAACCGAACATACGAGAAATATAAACTGATATTTTCACACTGACAATTAACTATCAATTGTTGAGTAATTGTTATAATCTGAAAATTTTATTATCACAAATAATATTATATGAACTTTAATATTTATTTACAGACCTCGATCCAGTAACTTTATTACCAACTGGAGATAAACTGACAGTAAATGAAGGAGATTCAACCAATATCACGTGTTCTACTAATAGTAACCCTGTAGCCATGGTTACCTGGTACAATGGTACAACTCAAATATCATCTACACAAACCAACATAGATACCTTCACTATACATCAACCTACATGTCTGGATACTGGTGACTATATTTGTCACGCTACCAATACTGACATACCAAATGTTCAATACAACCAATCATTGAAATTATCTATTAACTGTACGTATATATGTGATGCCGTATAACATATCACAGTAAACTTGATATTGTTGACTTGTGAACTAGACTCCATGGAATTTCATCGATCTCGAATAACCGGTCTTTTTGACAGCTGGCGATACCGAAAAAATGGCCCCATTCGTTTTCTATGTTTTGTGGGACTCAGATCTCATATAAATTTTCAAAAAATACCGAGACAGAAGCAACAGTCTACTCAATACCAATTCATAATATTATTTTAACCAAATATCTACAAATAGCATTACTTAATTATTACACGAATAAGTCATTACACGATGTCAAATTGAAACCTACATTCCGAAATACATTTCTACGGGACAAAATAGTGAAACATATTTTATTCCAGGTCAGTTTACATAACGATATTTGATTTTTTTTATTTTCAGTAAATTTGGACATTACTATTGGCCCAATGAAACTACACTTCCATCATTTTATAGAGGACTAGCGTAACTATTTACATACCAAAAATCATTCGATTCGTATCAGAAAAGTTTGAAAACTTCTTAGATTTATTACGAAAATTGAAATTTTTTAAACCTATTTCAACACTGAATACTTTTCTAACCACGAGAGATATGTGTCCAAACTATGTTTTAATTAAATCGCAGCTTGAAATATATATTTATCGAAAATATAACTAATTTCGAAGCTACCATAGGTCCGATATGGCACCACCGTTAGGGCGTTAAAATCTTGATTATTGAAAGATATATACCACTATTGGTTAGGTTTGTATATTCGGTAGAGATAGGTATAATTAGAAATACTCACGCTGTTACAATATATGACCTCTTCTACAACCAGCCAGTTTACACCCTGCTAATCAATGACTACTTGCTATACATACTAAACATTAGTGTAGAATAATGATCACTTATTAATGACAGAATATTGCATTACTAAAAGACATAGGTTTCATGAGCCAACAGTATCAGTTTGATAGTATATGTTATATCCTATCTTTAATACTGTTATATACAGGTTCACCTGGACAAGATACTAAAGTTATATCAACATCTATAGTTAGTGGTAATATAACGGATATAATACAACTGGTATCTGATGTTATATCCTATCTATTGTTATATATACAGGTTCACCTAGACAAGATACTAGAGTTATAACAACATCTATAGTTAGTGGTAATATAACAGATATAGTACAACTGGTAGCTGATGTTATATCCTATCCATCACCAACCTTCACCTGGTATTATAATAATATAACTACTGGAGATGTTGAACCTATCTATAATGATGATGTCTTTAAACAGATTGATACCAATATCTCTATCAATACTTATAGATCAACATTAAATATCAACATTACATCCCACATCTACTATACATCATATACAGTCAATGTATCTAATACTATTGGTTATACAGAACTAGAGTATCAAGTTACAGGTCAATGTAAGTATAATATAACATATTATATATCATATACATTCAATGTAACTAATATTGGTTATACAGATAACCACCATATCTGTGTAAGTATACTATAACATATACTACATATCATATAGTTAATGTATCGAATAATATTGATTATTCAGATAACCGTTGCAATGAAAATTATACTATATGTTAGTCTCAAAATGACTGACGTAATGTGCGAACATGATCCCATTTCCTTGTACTGTAACTGTGTGGGTGAATGCGTGAATGATTAAATGAACATTACCACGTAAATTCGATACGTTTTTTGGCTTTCTAATGCAATAATGTATATTCTGACAAATACAAGTGAGTGGGAAGTGGTAGATATTCACTAAGGGTGATAGCTATTACAAAGTGATCGATCCCTTTTGGATGAGAAACCCACCTTAATTGAATAACTACTTAATCTGCCTTCATTGGCTTCCTTACTCTACGCGGCTTCTTTTATAGCTTAATCTTTAAAACGATTCGTGGTTTGTCCAGTTTTGGACATGTTAATCCCTTTGATGTTGTACGACAAGATGTTAAAATTAGTCAAACATTATTACTTCCTGATTAGGAAATCAACCACCTTCTATGGTAACCTTTTAACAATTCAGGATCTAATTAGTCCAGTCGGACGTTAAACCCCATGAAAAAATGCTACATATCATAAACAATATTTGTAGATGAAGTCTATTAAAGGAAATGGAAGTTTATTTCCCTAGCTGATAAACGACCTAGTTCTGATAAACAACGTTGTACATTAAACCATAATGAATGCCTCTTGTTTAATAAAATTATATTTGTACATAACTTCCAGCTAAACCTGATGTACCTTCTAACATCAACTCATCAGCAACACGTCATGACAGTATCTGTATTACATGGACATCAGGATTTAATGGTGGGGATCAACAGGAATTTATTGTTCAACATTCAGTAGATAATAAAACCTGGACTAGTTCTACACCTCTACCAGAATCTAAACCTGATTATTGTATAAAGAATCTACAAGCTGATACACCATATTATATTAGAGTTATAGCTAGAAATAAATATGGTGATAGTCAACCAGTTTATCTGACAGTAATTGCCGACTCAGTACGAACTATGAAGAAAGGTAAGAATGGTTAAACATGCATTATGCAAGAGCTAAATCTGCCTATTGCAGGTCTTTCTTTAGGCCAGAAATGTTATCCAAATTATTAATTAACATATCCAGACCCAACCTGAACGACAGTCCCATCCTACCTGCAGAGAAAGCTAGCTACTATTTAATTTTCGTACGTTAGTTACTCACGATCCAGATCGATGTCATCGCTAACCTGCGATGCTTAATGGATTTGAATACATTTTATGATGTATGATTTAGCGTCAAAATGAATAATCGAGACTTTGGTTTTTATTGTACCGACTTTAGTAATGAAGATCGAGACAAGGCCTAAAATTCAATTGCTAATATCTCGGTTCAGAGTGAAGCAATTTTCAGTATATTCTCTGTACGCTATCTATTTGTTTAACTATTATAGCGAGAACTGTCAGCTCTTTATCTAATCTCCCATAATGCCCCTTTAAGATATTTAAATTTACTAAAATCGAACGAAATTGTAATTTAAAATATAAAATGAAACCATATCTAAATAGCAAACGTCCATCAGTTGTATTTTCCACGCGTGAAATTCTTAAAAGTTTGTCTACCGTTGAATAATTTTTAATATTGTATAATAATTGTGTATAACTATTTTTGAACTGTTATTCCACGTGTGGAATTCTTAAAAGTTGGTCTACCGTTGAATAATTTTGTATAACTATTTTATTTTCTTCTGGATAAGTTTCCTCAGACAGTGATGTTAAAAACGAAAGTCCAGATGGTCTTGTTGTTGGTTTATCGGTGATGTTGGCGCTTGTAATCATCTTGTTAATATTAGCTGTTCTATCTACCATATATTACCGACGGCAAAATCAACAACTACTAAAAGGTAAAACGATTTTTACAATTATTTTTAACGTAGAATATTGCTTATTAGTGTAACATTCAGATACAAAATAAATTTAAGCTATGAAATAAATGTGGAAATATCACTTTTTAGAGTGCGAACAATAACATTATTAAAGCCATCAGTGAATATACATTATGTATAATTTTTATGGTATACACTATAATGATTTAATATGAATAATTTCAGGTAGTGAAATCCCAACTACCAGGTAAGTCATTCTATGATAATTCTACCTGACACCAAAGTTTTATAATTGCTTATTAATTAACTGTATACGATAAAACGTTAGAATATTTTGTATCAAAGAAATGCATATCCATGGATAGGAATATCATCTAAATATATTCACTCACGTGTATTAAAGATACATTATGTAATATTTAGATAAAGAACTAGCCATTCTTGCTATAATAATTCGAAAGTAGATGATGTAAAGGGAATAATTTGAAAATTTCATTCAAATTACTCTATTGCAAGCGAAGATATTAGCCTTTGAAGGTTTGACAGACGTGTGCAATAATTTCAACCACCGTACTGGTTGATCGAAGCTAAGTCTCTGTCCTCCATATTTGATTAAATCAAAGTATCGCTGAACCATTCTAATCTATTTAATATCGGAGAAATCTGATGCCATCGAGAGTTGATTAAGGCCTGGATCAGTTAATTAATGTCTAATTAATACTTTAGAAAACATTTCAGGCCTAAAGAAAGACCTGTAATAGGCAGATTTAGCTCTTGCATAATGCATGTTTAACATCTATTCACTACGTTTTCTTGAAAAGCCCATTGGTCATAATGAGGAACTCTTTATACTGAACTATTGACTTAACTATTAATATAATGAATTGTAGAAAATAAATATATAAAAATGTCACATATTCCTGTTTCAGACAACCAACCATTACTGGTTTTGATAATAATGGTCTAAGTAAGTATATTGATAATTAAAATACACGTAGCAGTATCTCCAGGGTTCGTAGGCCCCGCTAAATCTTTGACATTTTTATTCCGGATTCCCATTGTTGATGATGACAAGTCAAAATGTTACACACTGGCCCTAAACATATAATTCATGGGCGCGTCCTAAATACATATTAACAGACGATTATAAAAGCAAACCAAACTAGAAAGAAAAAAGATCGTGTAATGCTCTGAGAGAGATAGGGCCGTCAGACTGGGGGTGGCGATTTATAATAAGTAAATTGTTTAATGTCTTGTGGAATTATTTGAGGAGTTCACATGACTAACATATGATTTGTGTTTTCTTGTCAATACTTTGTTTAGAGGTTTAAACAGATGAACCAAAAACAGTTAAATTTAATGGTATGTGATGATGCTTGATAAAATCGAAAACAAATATAGAGATGTGTCATTCATTCAATATTTTTCTATAAATAGTGTCGACATATGATGGTCTAGAATTTAGTGAAAGAAATCCAACTGAAGGAACATATCAAGAATTGATTCAGAATTCTACTAATGTTGATAACACAGCTAGTAACAGAATGGGAGGTAATGTGCATTGAGTAAATATAGGAGGAGGATTCGGTAGTCGAATGGTCTGTCAATAAGTTCGATCCCAAATAGGGTCGCCTGCCTATAACATCGTGTGTTTTCCCCGGAACCTCCGTGTTTCTCCAACTGCTAAAGAAACCTGCACTTAAGCGAAAGTATTGAAATAAAACTGAACTGCATGTTAGTATCAAACTGACCTAGTTGGTATCGATTTCTCTCTCCTTCGCGTTCTGTAAATAACAATGTTTTGTATTTACCCGTGACTATGGCAAGTATATAGATATGATTATCCGAAAAAAATGACATTGTGGAATAGCAGACTAATTTCTAATCCCACTGTGTAGAATCCATAAGCTTTAAATGTCCATTTAAAAACTAGAATATATTGGACCGGTCATCTTGTAATAGCTGGGCTAACCCTTACTATCTATCTAATTATTCTTTGAAAACTACCGGAATGTATCGAAGAATGCCGAGATGTGTTCTGGGGATTATACAGAAATCCCGTCGAAGGAGTAATACCACCCGGTCGAGATCCATTTGGTAATTCCAAATTTTAAATTAGCTTTGGAAATATAACCCGTAATATGTAGTTAGTAGTTTGTTTAGCTATCCAGATAAAACAACCACCAATAATTATTTACAAAGTAAACATTTTTTAAAACATTTTATTTTGTATTTAAACATTCGATATTTCAGATCCCACCTATATAAATATCAGAAACAGAATATAGTTTGTTTCAATTTGTTGGTATGTGGTTGAATGAAGAATTCTGTAGCTGGTTGTGTATAATATTTAGTTTACAATTACATCACCTTTTTGACTACCAGATATTTAACTTTAGTTTATCTCAATAGTCTTATATAAAGCAATATATGTCTTGTATTAACATTGAGTAGGTTATAATGAATTATCCAAGTATATGTCTTTAACATTGAGTAGATTATAGAATAACTCTGTAACTGATTTTATGAACTCAATATCCTGTATATAATTACGTCACATACTTACATCAAATTGTCGACTAGTCGATATACAATTATCCTGATATACATCTTGTATATGGTATAGTGTGATTACCACGCTCAATACAACATTTTTTATTGGTGCCAAACAGCTAACACCACACTGTGGGACCTCTATTGTATAAATCTAGTATTTTGTTTTCTGCGAAATTTTATCAACGATGCTATACTGAAAACAAACACAAAAAGAATGATAATATTACTTCATATAAGTACTTTTAATTCTCTTTGCTTAATTTCTTACTTGAAATCGCGCACTTGTCTGAAAATTATTAATTAGTAACTTTAATTGAATGTTTTGATCATATTTTCACTGTACTTTATATTCCATCATAACAATTGTAATAAAATCATTAACTATTGTTTGTTTTTAACAATATATTTTATTAAATAAATGTCAGTTGTAATTCAAATTTACGAATATAGCGAAACAATTAGCAGTCTTTTTATTTATTAAAGATGCATTATGTAAGATTTAGATTAAAAGCTGGACGTTCTTATTATAATAGTTCAAATATAGATAATGAAAAAATACTAAATTGAAAATTTCATTCATTTTACTTTATTTATGGCGATGTTATGATGTTTGAACATTTAGCATAGGTCGTTCATCATAGTGGCAACCACGTGTGCCCTTTATTCTTAAATTTTAAAATCTCGCGCATGTTTAAATCCGTTTAAATCTAGGCCAGTCTGTAAAGATATCACATACCAGGAAGATCCACGAGCTTATAAGTCTGTAAAGATATCGCATATCAAGGAACAACCTGTTCTGTACAACGTAGAATTCATTCCCATCTCGCGATATAAATAGTATTTATAAAAAAATAGAACATTGACACAATAAAAGACAAATTGAAGTGATAGAAAGTGTAAAATATGAGTAGTATCTGTGGCCTTCTAGCCATATTTTTACCAAGGAGAGTTGACGCCTTTGATCTATTCACTAGATTGAATAGGGGTATTGTTATCCGAACAATGGGTATATGAATATAGATAAATAGGTATTGTTATAATGAACTCTTGTTTATCCTTTGACCTCATTTGACTTCTGTTACGAGGTTAGCTGGAGGTCACGCATTGATTATTGGGAGTGAGTGGGGTGGGGTTGTCTTTATAGGGGTTCGTGCTGAGGTCAGGTCGTGCGTGGTCTAGCGTTAAGGGTTAACGTTAAGATTGACCATTGATTGGGTTGCGATTGTTTATCAGGGGTTGCCCCCCCCCCCTTCCACTCAGTTACCCCCCTTCTCCCACATACCCCTTCACCCCAGAGCCCCCCCCTCCCTCCTCCCCCCCCACCATTTCATTCCTCTATATTCTTCAATTAGTTACACCCCCCCTCCCCCCTTCACCCCCAACGTGCCCCTCTCCCCCCCCCCCATTTCATTCCTCTATATTTTTCAATTAGTGACAAGTAAGAAGCTAACAATGTTTGTTTTTTTTTTTTCAATATTTTTTTTTTATTTTTGATTTACATTTTAAAGTGCCGGTGAGTTCCAGTCGGCCAATTCCCTGTAAGTCTCTAAAATATCCATTGGCTTCTTGAACCCCGGATTTGTGTCGGCCACCAACCTCAAACGTGCCAATATGTAGTCAGTGTATGCTAACAATCTGCAGAAAAGAACAAAACAAATAGGTATCAGGTAAATAAAGCAATATTATTAATATTATAAGAATAGCGTTGATTACAGTCTTGGGTTCGCTAGCCTAGAGGTCGGGTGTTCGATCCCTAGCATTGGCTGAGAAAGGTCACCCCGATTTCTGGAGGGGTTTCCCCATTGCCTGTGATTCAGGTCGGTGGTCCAGCCAAGGACGGCCGTCTAGTCGTCCGGATGGGACGAAAAACTGAGGTGACGTGTGTACCCATTGTCGTGCATGTAAAAGATCCCTTGACCGTCGGAAAAGGATATAGGAGTAGGTCGTAGTCGGGGTACCCGGACAAAATTTCACTCATAGCACACGGTCTGTCTTATGCCAGGTCCTTCCTAAGCCCACGTTAGGAGTAGAACAGTAGGATTTTACCCCCCCCCACCCCATATTACATTTCATTTAGGTATTGACGACGAGGTGTGTGGGTGTGGGGTCGGAGGGTATACACGCAAGCATCTTCAAATGGTGGGAGGTGAAATGGAGTGAGACGTTTAACTGCCTCACTGTTTGTTTCCTATACCTAAATTAATGCCATAGGCTATATTGGTGTCGTTCAAAACAAAACTACGTTCAAGAATCGATACTTAGAAACCACAAACAAACAAACACGTGTGACCTGTAAAGTACAGTCTGCTTGACTGAACATCCTTGAATGGGCAACCCGATACAGACAAGACTCTCATTGCAAAGGTGGCGGCGACCCCCCCCCACCCCACCCTCCTTTCTACCGAAACACCATACAAGTAGTTAAAAAACTTACGTTTCTTTTTCCTGGCTAGGCGTGGCTGGTCTAGTTGGGATGAACGGGTTGTGGGTCGACAACAAAGCGTCTGCGTCTGCCAAAATACCCCGTAATTGTATAACAACATCAGGCGTGCCTAAGGACGGTGCATATGGTGCCAATGTCGCCGTAATCAGGCTAATGGTTGATAATATAAAATTTCTTACATCAGCAATTGCATACCTTAAAAAAAAGACAAAAAAAAATATAATATTAAAGATATTTTCACCGTAAAATATTTAGGTCGCAGGGTGTGGGGTGAAGGGTTAACGCTTATATCGATCTTTTACGCGTACATGACTATGTACCCATGGAGTTCTGCATTGTTTTCGGCCTATCCGGACGACTAAGCACCTGTCTTGCCAAGGGTTCGGCCCACATCACGGTCAAAAATCGTGTTTATGCAACGAATTCAACAACGGTATCCAACGACAGTTGCACGTATCGTTGTTAATCCATACAAGATGCATTATAGCCAAATTATGATAAATTAAATAGTTTGAAAATGTTTTTTTAGACCGAATATATCGTCAAATCATACCGTACTCATACAATGTTATGCCTCTTTAAAAGCTTCAAATTATGTAGGGTCTAAGGCCCCCCCCCCCCTCATCTCCCCCCCCTCACCCCCACCCCCATGCTTTCAGTCTAACGATTACAGATTTTTTTTTTTTTTTTGTAAAGTAGGTTTTGAATCATAATTTTGAAAGAAAAAGAAAAAAAAGTAACTTACATTTTAAATTATTTGTCTTTTCTTGTATAGTTTTTTTTCGTCAAGTCTTTCTGTTTTGGTGTTGTATTCTTTTCAGCCACAAGTCGAAGTGACAATTTTCATAAGTACGGCTGTTTTTAAAGGGTATAGCATAATTTTATGACCAACTGCAAATTGAGGGTTCGAGAACTGTTTTTAAAATTTTCTTTTTAAAAATGAAATACATTAAAACTGAACAAACGCTGTAAAGTGAGTTTTAAAAAAAAATTGGTGGTGTGTCTCCGCTATTTTAAAAAGTTTTATAAAAACGATTGCTCGGACTGTCGCGGGCATTTCTAAAGAGTACTATGTTAAATCAGTCAACCAGCACTATTTGATGTGATTACCTTAAGGACAGCGTGACACCACTACGCGTCCCCATAATTATAACACCTTTCAGTCGTGGGGTTTACCGTCAGACATTGTAGTTACTCTGTCGACTGGAACTAAAGGATTAACGACCCTTTACGAGACAAAGACACTGGTCAGAAGTTGGCGCTAAACAACCACGTGACCCATACTAACCAATCATGGAAGGCTCTCATGGTTTGTTGACCAAAAATGCGACGGTCGTTTTAACGTCATTGAGCTCCGTGGACTTTGAAGTAGCAACAACACCCAACTCGTGAGACGTTGTCTTTGAGTATACACGTCGTCATTATAGGACACATTCGGAAAAAATCATGGTAAGCCTATTCTTTAAAGATACATTATGTAAGATTTTTTTTTTTTGTTTTCGATATCATGCCAAAAAATATTCCAAAAATATTAGTCTAGATGCTATGAAAACATTTGGGGACTAATAATCCGGTCATTGGATATATTATTCGTGCTCTTAACCGTATCGTAAACAAAACCAAGCTGCTAGGGTGGGAAAATTATTATAAATTTTATTAATCTCTTTTTGAGGTAATAGTATTTTTTCTGAAATATATTAATTTTTTTTTGTTAACCGCGTTGTCTCCATTAGATTATAATTTATTTCAAAATAGGTATGTGTTATAAATATGGGGCATGGCTATACCGTAATACATATATCTGTCCATTTAGAATTATTCCGGTCATAATAATTAAACGACTCTGTTACATATGGTTAGGCCCTGAAACTATATATTTTTTTTTTTTAATTATTTATCCCCGGAAATAGACTCGCGCTTGAAATCTTTGAAAAAAGCGAGTTACCCCCCCCCCCCTTTTATACGTTTTCAATCTGGGGGCGGTAGCTAACTTTATTTCCCCCGGAAATAGAAAAAAAGAGAGTTATCCCCCTTTTATACGTTTTCGATCCGAGACGTTTGCTAACTTTATTTACCCCGGAAATAGAAAAAAAAGAGAGTTATCCCCCTTTTTTTATACGTTTTCAATCGGGGCTTTTGCTAACATTATCTCACCTTTAATACATAAGCTCCATTTTTTTTTTTTTTTGTTTGTGTTTTTTTTTTTTTAAATTATTATGTTATTATTATTATTATTATTCTTTTTTAATCTTTTTTTTTTTATTAATTTTTTTTTTTTAATTATTTATCCCCGGAAATAGACTCGCGCTTGAAATCTTTGAAAAAAGCGAGTTATCCCCCCCCCCTTTTATACGTTTTCAATCTGGGGGCGGTAGCTAACTTTATTTCCCCCGGAAATAGAAAAAAAGAGAGTTATCCCCCTTTTATACGTTTTCGATCCGAGACGTTTGCTAACTTTATTTACCCCGGAAATAGAAAAAAAAGAGAGTTATCCCCCTTTTTATACGTTTTCAATCGGGGCTTTTGCTAACATTATCTCACCTTTAATGCATAAGCTCCATTTTTTTTTTTTTTTTGTTTGTGTTTTTTTTTTTTTAAATTATTATGTTATTATTATTATTATCATTCTTTTTTAATCTTTTTTTTTTTTATTAATTTTTTTTTTTTTAATTATTTATCCCCGGAAATAGACTCGCGCTTGAAATCTTTGAAAAAAAGCGAGTTACCCCCCCCTTTTATACGTTTTCAATCTGGGGGCGGTAGCTAACTTTATTTCCCCCGGAAATAGAAAAAAAGAGAGTTATCCCCCTTTTATACGTTTTCGATCCGAGACGTTTGCTAACTTTATTTACCCCGGAAAAAGAAAAAAAAGAGAGTTATCCCCCTTTTTTATACGTTTTCAATCGGGGCTTTTGCTAACATTATCTCACCTTTAATACATAAGCTCCATTTTTTTTTTTTTTGTTTGTGTTTTTTTTTTTTTTAAATTATTATGTTATTATTATTATTATTATTCTTTTTTAATCTTTTTTTTTTATTAATTTTTTTTTTTTAATTATTTATCCCCGGAAATAGACTCGCGCTTGAAATCTTTGAAAAAAGCGAGTTATCCCCCCCCCCCTTTTATACGTTTTCAATCTGGGGGCGGTAGCTAACTTTATTTCCCCCGGAAATAGAAAAAAAGAGAGTTATCCCCCTTTTATACGTTTTCGATCCGAGACGTTTGCTAACTTTATTTACCCCGGAAATAGAAAAAAAAGAGAGTTATCCCCCTTTTTATACGTTTTCAATCGGGGCTTTTGCTAACATTATCTCTCCTTTAATACATAAGCTCCATTTTTTTTTTTTTTTGTTTGTGTTTTTTTTTAAAATTATTATGTTATTATTATTATTGTTAATTTTAAATTGTTTTTAACATTAATATATACACTTCGGGACCATTTTAACATAATGTTCTTGCATAATGTATGTTTAATAATAATACTTACCGGCTCCGACACGATTAGTAATTAAAAAAACAAAATTATCTATTTTCTTTTAAGATGGACCCGTTTGAAAACTACACAGACGCTGAATGGCATGAAATAATAGGGCTTACAGATGAATTTGAATTTTGGACACCGAGTCAAGTCCTGGCAATTAGCGAAACTTTAGACAGGGCCGAGATTGAAAATCAAACAAGTAATCATAATGAAAGAGCGGGGACTAAACACCAGCGGTCTGACGCCGACACAGATGACGACACGGAGGACGAAAGGTGTGAAAGGGGTCATCGCCAACTGGATAGTCCTGTATTATTTTCGGATGACGATAGTGACATTGACATGGCACAGGTGAGCAAAAAAACTTTACACGATACTCAAAATAATGGGGAACCTAATTCGTCTACAGAAAGCGAACATCACGATCCCTTAATTGCTCTATTAACGAGTGACATAGCAACCCCTTCTAAGTTCAAATCTTTAGTTGCTAAGGCGTGTGAAGAAAAAGATGGGGAGGTAGTCGATATTCTCGATTTGTTAACCCCACCGGTTTTTTTTTTTTAAAATAACCAACTCCCGTTTTTTTGTTTTTTTTTAAAGATTTGTCAAGAGGGCCGTGGCGGCGAAGATTTAGTAAGGCTGATTTCGGTGGAACAACGGTTTTCAAGGAAATTTAACATACATTCCGAATTGCTACGTCTGGAAATTATAAACACGGATGACCCTACTACTCCCGATTGGCTAGAGAGACTATTCACTCAGATATTAGCGACCGTTAGAGAAAATTTCAATGTACAACCAAACGAGAGGGTAAGAATACAATTAAATCACCCTGATTTGGACAATCCAATATATATTGCGTTTAGGCCTTACAGTGAACTAACTTTGGAATTAATTTTGGATGAAATTGCGAAAGTTATGCAGTCAAAAAAAACCCTCGTTATAGACGATCAAACCTCTATAACCGTTACCTACGTTGCATCTAAAGAAGGGGGGTTTTTCAGCAAATAAGGCGATTTTGAACGAGGCCTTTATGAGTGGAAAAAAACGGACATTTATATCCCCCGTAGCCAACGCTGGTTATCAAACTTGTTTTGGGCAATCTATAGTCCTGGGTATGAACGAAATTTCTTATCATAAGAAAATTTCCCCAACAGCCGAAGAAACTAAACATTACAAACGTGTAGCTGCCACCTATGCGAAAAGGCCACTGCAGATTGACATGGCTATGGAAATGTATCAAGAATTCAATGTTAACCCGCTAGTAGCCGCAGGTCGACCTGAATGGTGTATATTTCAAGAACACTTAAAAGCTGAATATCAAATTCTCATCTATGATGGACAGGCGGCCAACTGTATCATATTCAGGGGTGACGCGGACCCCAATGTGCCCGTTTTAAGGCTGTATTTAATGGAAAAACATTTCTACTATATAAAGAAAATCAACAGCTTATTTAATCGTTCATACTATTGTTCAGGGTGTGAAAAACCATATTCTAATAAGAATAACCATGTGTGTAAAGCGCTATGTCGAAGCTGCAGGCAATTAGTGGCCTGCCCTCTGGATAGGCCGCGAATACAGTGTGAACTTTGTCACCGTTATTTTAGAGGCAAAAAGTGTTTGGAGAGACATAACCAAAATGTTCCGTTATACACAGTGTCGACGTGTATGAAATATAGGGCGTGCTTAAAGTGTTATACAACAATAGACACCCACGAAGAGGATGCGATTAATAAGCACACCTGTGACGTGCACAAATGTCGTAATTGTATGCAACTGTGCAAGCCTAATCATAGATGCTATATGAAACGGTTATCAGAGGAGGTTGAAGGTGAGACTATCAAATATTTTGTTTTTTATGACTTTGAGACTATTTTGGATGAAGATAATATACACGTTCCTATATTATGCATTGCTCATCGCGTGTGTCCTTTATGTTTGGAGATAGATATTAACGCGCCGTGTGTCGGCTGTAACTTAAAAAACTCCCAGAGAGAGTGGATTTTTTATGGTAAATATTGCGTTGCAGAGTTTTGCCGTTGGATAATTCAGACCGAAATAAATGTCGACCTCGAAGGTAAAAAAACGACCGTTCTAACCCACAGGCATTCCAGATTCATAGCCCATAACAGTCAAGCTTTCGATGCCCTATTTGTATTGAGATATTTCGTCACACATACTAGAATTCTACCGGAAATCATTGCAAACGGGTCTAAAATCATTTGTATGACTATACCCGGTAATATACGTTTTTTAGATAGCCTAGCGTTTATGCATATGAAACTTGCAGATTTTAGCAAAACATTTGATTTACCTGTTGCGAAGGGTATATTTCCGTATGCATTCCTTAAACCCGAAAATCTGGAATATAAAGGCGTAATGCCCTCGATAAGTTTTTACGAAACGTCATCTATGTCCCCTAGTGATCGCGATAAGGTCATGAAATGGTATAATGAGCGGGTGCTTCTAAACAATCATTTTGACGCTAAGTTTGAATTGGTGCGATACTGTAAAGCGGATGTTGATCTTCTACGGTTAGGCGCGGCTAGCTATAGAAAGCTTTTCATGGAATTAACCAAAATATCGCCATTTCAAAAGGCTATTACGATTGCATCCTTGTGTAACCTCGTCTATCGGCGAAAATTCTTACCCCCCTTCACGATAGCTATAGAGCCCCAGGGTCAGTATGTATCCGCACGCAAATATTCAAATTCATGTATACGGTACATGCAATATCTTGAATATGTTGAAAATCGTCATATACAACACGCCCGTAACGGTGGTGAAAAGGTCATTTTCAAT